TCTCTGTGTGTGTCTCTCTCTCCCTCCCTCCTTGGGACTATTCCTCAGAGTAAATAATTAGGATTCCAGCTTGTCTACTAGAAAGATAAATGGCTGACATGTGTGACGTGCTGAGAGCTGGAGTAGGGCTGGACTGTCTGAACAAAACAAAAAAAAAAGAAAGAAAAAGATCAAAAATATTTTAAAAGTAATAGTAGTAGCTATATAGTATATTGTATTTTAGCGCAGTTTTACCCCGTTATGAAAACATTCGCATGTGAAATAGGATTTTCTTTTTTTATATTTTTTGTAGGAAGCACAACACGCTTGTCATGACTTGTATCTTTCTTTTTTGATTTTTTACTGCCATTTATTTGCTATATTATTTATGTTTGCTATCATTAGGCCTAGAATGCTACTGGCATTTAAAACATGTAAAACTAACCTACTACGTATCCTATACACGAATTATAAATATCGTGCAGCCACACAAGAAGAGAAGATCATTTCAGATTGTTTTTCAGTGTTGCTTTTTGTAGCGTTAACAAATGGTGTCACTTTATCTTCCATACTGTCAGATAATTCATTTTGGGTTTTCTGTATTTATCAGCAACGAAGCCGGTCAACAGGCCGACAAACACACACGTACATTCCCTTTTATGACACAATTAAACAGAATTAATGTCTACGTGATATGTGTTCAGTTGCGAAATAAACCCAGGGAGCAGCATGGTGAAGTTGAGCCTCAGGAGTTAGCTGTAGCGCTAGCATTGAGGCTCAGTTTGTGTCTGGTGACAGAGGCAGCAGAGCCGCTTCACCTCCACTTCTCCCCGTTAAACATTTCTCACAGGAGAAATGAATGCCAGGTGCTCTCTCGCGCCTGACAAGCCGGCCTCTCGCGGCCACAGGCCCACCCCAGCGGTGAGCGCAAGATAGGGAGTCTATGGGGGCTCAAACTGCTCTTTTTTTTTTCTTCCTCTCTTTTTCCCTTAAGGGGCCATGATAGAGCACTCTGACCACTCGAGCCTAATGAATCACTGACTCGTGAAGCTTCTTCCGGGGATTCTTTCTTTCTATATATCTATCTGTTGTTGGCCTCTTTTGTCTGAACCCAAGTCCAAGGGTTTTGGTTTTTATTTTTTCACCCTTTTCTTAAAACACCAAATTAACCAAATTGAAACGCCTGGAAAATATTTACATCTTTAAATGTATCCCCGATTTCCCCTGTCCAAAAATCACAAAATAATATGTTGAGAAACATTTCCGAGATTCATACGTTTTCTTTGTTACTCCGTTAAGAAAATCTAAAAATCTTAAAAAATGCGCAATAATATGCATTACTCCTATGTTTCCCCTGACCTGTTCAAACAAATCTAGTGTGAAGCCTGTTATTCAGCAGCAATGATCGCTTCCGGAGATAGACTGCTATGAGTGAGGTAACAGCCGAGCAGACGGAATACAGTAAATCATGTGTGTATGGTAGAGGATGACAGAAATAGGCTACCTACATCAGTCACAAAGGAAAATACATACAGGCCACATTCACTGCCGCCATTACACAACAAAATGTCTCGTTCAGCCTGAATAACGCCAGACACGGTGGGGTAGTGCTTTATTCCAAAAACACAATTCTAAATTAAATTCACTTATCGAATAACTGGGAAAAATACGGTATAGTAATGTTAAAAACAATACTGCTAATATATTTCATTTCATTTCATTCTTAGATTCAAAGGTGAAGCTTTGTCATCATTCTTTAATTAATTGCTGAAAATTTAGATAATTAGTAAACACAATAAGAAATAATAATTATAAAACTACCATTATTAATTATAAGAATTATATGCTTACCACTTAATAATAATGATAATAATAATAATAACCTAATAATAACAATGATTTTAACATGTAATTAATATGTGACTTAAGGTAACATTTCTATGGAAATGTAACATTATTAAGCATATGTCTTGTGTGTGTGTATGTGTGT